GGGGGGAGGAGAGAGAGGGAGAGGGAGGGAAGGAGGGAGGGAGAGAGAGAGGGAAGGAGGGAGTGAGGGAGGGAGGAGGGAGGGGGTAAAAGGGAAAGTGGTGGAGAAAGAAAGCAGAGATTTTTTCTGAGAACTCCTTCTGTTCATGTCACTGATTCATTTTTTCCTCTTTTCTGATCTGATGATTTTCAGGTGTTTTAATAAAGGACTTTATTTTGATCCTAATCCAGTGGTTCTCAAAGTAAGGCCTGGGTCCCCACATGGGTCCACTGATCAACTGACTTTGGTCTGTGACATCAACTGTTTTTAAAAAAAAAAAAATGTTCTGAAGCCACAACTGTTCAAATATACATCAATATATTATTATATGACAGGGGGCGCTGCAGACCAGAACTGTTTGGTTCTCGAGTCGGTCAGACTGACCAGGAGGGGGCGCAGCTGTGTTGTATTCACAGACCTGCAGCTGGTCTGTCTGTGGTCTGTCTGTGGTCGGTCTGTGACACTCCTGGGGATTCGATCAACACTCACCCCCTCATCATTCTTTTTCCCCCCCCCCCACCCTGACAGGGATGACCCGGGGGTTCTGAGGGTTCTCCAGGTGGACCTGAAGGTGGAGGGTTCGGTGGAGCCGCTGGACGCCCGCCGGACGGCCTGGCAGGTGGAGTACCCCGGGAGTCGAACCCTCACCCGGGAGGTGGAGACGGAGCTCCGAGTGGCACGAGAGGACGTGGTGGGACTGGTGCCTCTGGCCATGGTGAGTGACCTTCATCATCATCATCTTCATCATCTTCATCATCATCATCTTCTTCATCATCATCTTCATCATCATCATCTTCATCATCATCGTCTTCATCATCTTCATCATCATAATCTTCATCTTCATCATCTTCATCATCATCTTCTTCATCATCATCTTCATCATCTTCTTCATCTTCATCATCTTCATCACCGTCTTCTTCATCATCTTCTTCATCATCATCATCATCTTCATCATCTTCATCTTCATCATCACCATCTTCATCATCTTCATCATCTTCTTCATCATCTTCATCATCATCATCACCATCTTCTTCATCTTCATCATCTTCATCATCTTCTATATCTTCATCATCATCTTCATCATCATCTTCATCTTCTTCATCATCATCATCTTCATCATCTTCATCATCATCATCTTCATCTTCATCTTCATCTTCATCTTCATCTTCATCATCTTCTTCTTCATCATCATCGTCATCATCATCATCTTCATCTTCATCATCTTC